GGAACAAAGTGTAAGTTGTCACCAAGATAGTTACATGTGTGCAGAAAGAGAGATGTATGACACCTTTTTTTTATACGTGATTTATTTATTTATTTTTTATTTGTTAACACTTACCCTGGGACATGAGTGATCAGGTGTGGCTTGACGTAGCCATTATTTGTTGTAGGTTGTTGCTCTCCCATGGGTGTATAGTACTTTCCAAAAGCTTGTTCTTTAGGTATATTTGGATAGAGGAAGAGCAAGTACTTTAGATCAGCAATCACATCAGCTAAAGGACGGATGGCAAAGGCTTTACTGGTGAATGGCTGTAGCATGAACACATCTCGTTGGTCGCCAGCTGTGGAAAATTTCAGAACAATAAGTTTTTATGCAACACTATTATTATAATAATAATAATAATAATAATAATAATAATAATAATAATAATAATAATAATAATAAAAGTGATACATAAAGCTAACACAATGAAATAAAAAAAAAATTCTTTGATATTATTCATATACTTTTAAGGCAGGGTAACCACTGCAGATCTAGATGAAAAAATCTATCTAGTGAGCATCTTCCCAACTATTACATGCTGAAGAAACTTTTGCACCAAAATATCCCTCTGGAGACTTGGTCGTGATGGAAAGGTGCAACCAATTAATGAATTATTAGTCTCAGTTGCTAATGACTACAGTTGAGGGCCTCCCTGGGATTTCAACTTGTAGACTGTGTAGGTAAATACACATAAGTATCAGTAATCTGAAATGCTAGGGACCAAGAGGTTACAGAAAGTAGATAATTTTGGAGATCTGACATATCTACTCCAGGAGTCCATATATTTTTTACTAAATTCATGCCACCTGGATTAAAATACTGTACACTATATCTCATCATTCTACTTTCCCAGTGATGATATTTATTGGACAGCTCTGCTGTACACAAAAAATTGAAGGTCACAAAATAAAAAAGTTCTAAAACAACAATATAGCATGAAAACTACAGAAGAACAATGTGAGATTTTGCGAGTATCTTGAAGAAAGAGCCACAATGACAAGAACCTATCACAAGCCATATACAGGTATTTACTAGAACCAATTTGTGTTTATCAGCACATTCCTTACAAGATCATACTTAATGGTGAAGGAAAGACAAGAGCTAGAAGCAGCTTGAGGACTCTACCTACACAGTGCGGGCTTGATGTCAGCTCAAAGGATATTGAAATGGAGGCGGAACACACAAAAATATGTATTCAAGATATCAGCAGCAGTTTACAACATACTGTATTGTAATATAAAGACTGTAATTCTTTAAGGGTAGTTGAGATAAATTGTATTACAGAGTATAGTATTTCCTCCCTAAATACTCACCAAATGCTGTAATTACAACTGTCTTGTGAGTGGTAGTAGCCATGTAAACAATTGGTCACTCACTCTACCAAGCACTGACAGTGAGGCCACTAAGCATCCAGTAGCCCAATATTTCCTTACCGGGTATTTACTCTAAATTTTTATATGGGAATCAAAATGCAACAATAATATTATACAGCCCCCCCCCCCATAAAAAAAATCGTAGAGGTTAGGTTTTCAAAATGGCCGCGAATAACATTTGCGGACTGGGAGGGGGGGGGGGTTACCTTTTTACTTGTGTACAAAGAAATGTATAGTTCTTTATGTGTTTGTTTGCCCTTAGGACAATTATTTTCTTTTACCTGTCGTATTGTATACGTGTGTGTGTACACACAAACACACATACAAATAAATAATAATTGGAAAATCCTCTCACAAATAATCAGAAACAAATTTATAAAAAATGTGAGTCTACCCTCAAGTCCGTGCTCTATTAATAAAGTACTGTAATAGAAAAAGGACTTGAGGGTAGAATGTCACATTTTAATAAATTTGTTTCTGATTATTTGTGTGAGCATTTTCCCATTATTATTTACTTGTGTGTGTGTGTGTGTGTGTGTGTGTCTACACACACACACACACACACACACACATATTTACAATACAGGTAAAGGAAATTACTGTCTCTAGAACGAATGGCACCCTGTCCCAGCCACGAAAATGCCGGCAACTTTAAAACTACCCACAGACATTCTTGGGTACATCCAGGGTGTCATCCGCGAATAAGAAACATGAAATAAAAATCCGCGAACTTGGGGGGGGCTGTACCTTTATATTCTTAATTTATATATGATGATTAACTTGGCGCTAAAGTGATGAAAACTTAGGTAATTTATTATGTTGTTCCTTTTAAGTAATATATTGTTGTCGTTCCTTTACCATACTGGTCATGGAGTTTACTCACTGTCTGATCCTAGTGCAGTTTTTGGAGAATTTCCACCTTTTCTTTTAATGTCAAGTACTTATGTTTTCTTTTTGCACTGCTGCACTCGGTACCAAAAATTTTCTGCTTCTTTCGAGGCATTTTAAGGACAGCACACCTGGTCAGAATCCACAATGCTTTTTAAGTGACAAAAAGAGACCTGTGGACAGCCTAAGTGATACAGGCCTGTGCCTGAAAAATATGTAAGGACACGTGATGTCTTCTTATGCTATGTGAAACGCTGTGTCATCAACTGACCAACCCAGGCTAAGTCAGCTAATGAGGTTTGGAGGATATTTTGAACTTGACAATACTTGAGAAAATTTATTATTTTTGAAAAGTAATTTTATTTAATTTTTTGGGGGGGATTTCTGTTGCTGTACACAAGTGTACTAAAGTGGATGAGTGGAGAATGCCGGACCATAAAAGCCACCAGTAGCTTGTACTACAAAAAGAACTAAAAATACAAAAATAATTACTGCATGAAAAACAGACATACCCTTTGTCGTGTCTTCATACATCCAAGCAATTGTGACACCCCCTAATTCTGAATCAGAAAAGCGTAGAAGGAAGGTGCCTGACTTGGAGTTCTTTAACATTTCTTCAGCCTGACGGCGACCAACAAAACCCATAATGGACCCGTCATTCCAAGGCTGACGCAGGTGCTCTCTCGTAACCTTTCAAAAATGAAAATTATATTACAGTATACAAAAGTATTGGAAAAAAAAATAAATAAAATTACAAGCCAGGTACATGCAGCAAATAATTCAAATTATGTTCAGCCGTCTAGAGCAAGGAAAACAAAACTCAGCTACCTGTAAAATAATTTGGGACTCTAATTCTTTGAATAAAATGCCAACACCTAGCACAATGAATAAGTCCAAACAGTAAGACATCTTGGTTTGAGTGCAATGACTTGACCATTTGAGCACAATATCTTAACCATTTGAATTTAATGAGCTATTACCTTGAGTACGATGATACATGTACCTCATTAAGGTTAAATCATCCCACAATGTTAGTTATTCAGTATAACAAGAGAAAACAAGAAAAGAAATCAGGGATAATCAGTCATACTTTTTTTGGTACACATTACAAGCAAAAATCAAACCACTGAAATATCTGATTGGAAACTTAGAACACTACACCACTGTCAACATATTTTTTCCTTTGCATACTTCCCCAGTCTAGTCATATTCCTTGTTTCTAATAAATTCTTACACTTAAAATTTGGGTGACAATATTCCTCATGACAGGAACCTAGTGAAGCGCACATTAGTGGTTTAAAGCTGATAAAGCATTTAATACAAAAATTCCAATGAAAATTTTAAGTTATCTTTGCTTTTCTCTATAATTTAGTATTGGGGTACACAATGTAATAAGGCTAAGCATACCTAGTACATAACCACAGAATTTATGAAGCAACCCAGGATGTCTGTAGCATGAACTTAGTGTCACATATCAGACAGATTGAGAGAGAATAATTATCTCTCTCCCTATGGTATGGACACTGAGTAAGTAAGATTTTTATGAAAAGCTGGTAGTGGTTTGGTTACATTGCTTGTACTGGTTACTGCCCCACATTGGACAACAGTCTGATATTGCCTTCTTAACACTCTCGGGTACCATGACAAAAACAAGTCAATCAAAATCTGATCCAATTGGCACTGACATGTATTTGCATCACTTCGTCACTTAAGAGAAAAAAATAAAAATAAATATCGAGTACTGTAATTCCGATTGATGCTTGAGATTTTAACTAATCATCCCTGTAGGCCCCCTCTATAAACCATTACCAATTAGCTACACGGCAACTGTCCATAGTGCAACACCATGAAAACTTCAGTGTTCTCTCAGTTGGCAAGCTATAAGGGACAGTCGGTGAGCCCCATAAAAATTTTATGTGGCTATCCATCTCATACACTCGTGCCCTCCATTGGGCAGTAATATTTTTTTATCCAATACTTAATGTGCTTACTTTGTTGTTTGTTAGCTAAAATACATGTTGACCGTATTAAAAACTGTAATGCATGACATCATATCAAAAAATATTTCTTCTTTCCTATTTTTTTCTGCTTTTATATGAAAAGAGTTACCAGTTTTACATGGAATGGAATTGGTTTCATAAAAAACAAATAAATAAATAAATAACCGGTTCCTGAAAATCTAACTGGGGGAAAAAAAAGAAAAATGATACAAGGCAGAGCCAAATTATTTGCATGTAAATTTAATTGAAAGTCTAATCTGAATACAGTATTAACAATGATTCCCAAAGTACATGGCATAGGGTGTTTTTTATCAGTAAGCCCAGAAAACTGCAGCTATACAACTGACATCTTTTTATGAAAATGATGACATCTGGTACACTTGTTACAAGGACATCAAAAAGGAAGACTGTGTTACCCATTCTCAGGTTCAGAGATGTTCAAAATTATATCTGCCTTGCTCAATACATATATAGGGGTGACTGATTATGTTTGCATATCCATCCCAATCAAAATGACAGTGCATAACTTATTCTTGGATGATGGAAAATACTCTACCTTCATCACAGCAAAGAACCATTCCCAGAAGGTAAAGTTGCGCTCAGATAAAGGCTCCTTGCAAAACTGAGACCATGACAAGTACATATTATTGAAATCTTGAATTTGAGGACTCCTGCAAAAGACATGAATTTCAAGATTACGTGACACAACAAACAGCTGACTTATTATCTATCAATCTCCTTCCAAAATTTCTAAGATATTATATATAGGTTTAATAAAAGACCATAAATGTGATTTCTAATTTTGTTTACTTTTCTTCTGCTGAAGTTCTGCAGTTCAAATTAAAGCATTTCAATTTGTTGGCAAACAAATTAAGGTATTAAGCTTAAAACAGGCCTAAACACATTTTAGAATGCAAATGATGAAGCCCTTCCCAGTCACATGGTGTTCATATTTCCAGCCTTGTATAAAATTGATCCACATTAAACAGTCCCTATGTAACCCTTAACTAACCTACAATGACAATCCTATACTGTACCTTAACAACTCTTGTTTTGGGCTAGTTAAATGGGTAAAAAATTTTTTTGAGAAAACCATATAAATTTCTATTCACATATTACAAAATGTATGATAAATCATATTCCCTAATCATAATTAAAATACAAAATATACACACCTGTCTAACCTGAAAGCCTTGCCTGCCAAGAACTTGAGATTGTCATCAGTTAATCCTCGACCAGTGGCAGACTTAAATTTAGAATCTAACATATCTGCTATCTGGGGCCAAGGTACCTGAGGAAAACAAAAATATTTCAAGGGGAGGAATTGATAAACAGGATCTTTTTAATAATTAATAATTATCATTCAACATTTCTTCTATGCAAAAGATGGTAGCCATCCAGACAAGAGAACATACAAGATACAGATACACATTACACATCCACAAAAATATACCAAATGCTGAAGAGTTATAGAAGTGCAATGTGGTTACAAACCATATTACAAATTTAACCAAGTTCTAATTTTGATACAATTTGCGAGTTAAATTACGTCAGCCTACTCTTCTCACCTTTTCAGGAACTGTAAAAGGTATACGCCCTTGCTCAGCAAATGCATTGTCCCAGGAAACTGTTGCCCAGGCGTGAGGTTCTTGGTTGCCGTGAACAATAACTACCACTGGTAATGACAATGTCCATACCTCAAAAGAAATATGAAAGAATAATAAATTTCACTTTATACACAACATGCCAAAATGTTATATTTAATAGAATATTGTATTATTTATAACCACCCCTTGTTTTTCAGGAGACAAACTGGTCATAACACAAAAATAGTTCCTTCCATAAGCACTTTCTCGAAAGAAGGAGTACAGTTGGCTCTTGCCATTTCCAATTTTAGTTTGCATTTTCTTTTTTCTAAAGTAAATGTATACTACCAACTCCCCATTTGCAACCCCTGACCTGTAGCATTCACGAGGGAGTGAGGCGTAGGCGTAGAGAAGGAGGGAAGGGGGGCACTTTTTATTCATTCCTCATATACTGTAAACAGGTGCGCCTCTACTTACAAACTAGTTACGTTCCTGAGGCTTGTTTGTAAGTCCAATTTTACTCTTGTAGATACCAAACATATTGTAAAAAATTAAAAGATTATGGATATTTAGTACAGCTATACCCTTTAATACAGCCTTAAAACCTGGCTCACTCTTCTCCTCTTAGGTAATGTTTGTTCTATCTGGAATTATCTTCAAAATAATCCAGTCTCATCCACATTAAACACCTGTTCTGGCAGGTAACCCCCTCAGTGATGATGTTTGTATCTCTAAAATTTTGTAAGTTGAACGTTCTTAAGTAGAGGAGCACCTGTACATGAATTTCTGGTAAATTTGCAATTTCAACCAATATGGCTTTCAAGTTGAACTGTGTTTTTCCGATGGCTTAGACAATTTTAAGACACATTTATTCTCTGATGTTTCCCTCACTAAAGACTTAAATATACCAGGGGATCCTGGGGAGCAGAGCCCCCAGTTAGGAGGTTAGGTTAGGTAATTTTAGGTCATTTGCGATGGAAACGTCATAGAAGAAAAGTGTATTAAAATTGTCTAAACCATTGGAAAAACATATTGCTCAACTCGAGAGCCATATTGCTTGAAAATGCAAATTTACCAAATTTACATTGTTTTTATTCAACTCACAGTGTCAAACTACTTATTACCATTTACATACCTGTCTAGGAAAGAAAAAAAAAGGAAAGGGGCCAACTTAGACATTACTTTAAAGGGACTGAACTCTCATGAATTTTGGGGGTGAAACTGTTATCTTGAAACATGAAAAATATTAGCTTACTAATCATCTTTTTCAGTACATGCTAGTTAGCTTCTTATTCCTGCAATTAATATTTCCTATGACAAAATAACTTAAAATGAGACAATCATCAGAATTAGTAAGCATTTGATGATTTTAAGGCTATTTAATTTTTTTTTTAAGTTTGATGTACTTCTTGAAACATAAACTTAGCACCCTCATCACTGTTACACAGAATGCCTCAAATCATCATCATCAAAGATGAATAAAAAACATTATTCCTTATAATTTATTGGAAACCTATTTACTGTATTCATAGTTCTTAAACATTACCATCCACCCCCCCCCCCTGTGTTGAGTAGTATCAGGTCCCTAGCCAAGGTTTCAGCATTTGCTGACTCAGTATTGGGGAGGCTTTCTCAATAACACAACCCTCACATATAGCAAGGACCGACTATACCGCACAACATACACTTATATCCTTGAAGTAAAGAAAAAATATTACAAGCATTTTCCTGCTTTCATATCTTACTTACTTGGAAAACAAGTTCGCCACCACCAACACTGAATTGTGACTGGAAGAGTAAGGAAAATTTCTCGTCCATAACTGACTCTGTACCCTTTTTCTCTGCTCGCTTGATTTTGCGCAACTGCATATTGCGGAAACTCACTGATAGTTGTCGATTGGTCTGAAAAACATATTAATTAATACCATAAATATGGGGTAGACACTATATAAGTCTTAACTTACAAAACTTGGCAAATTACAAATGGTACATTGTGATTATTACCAACACTCTCACATAACCTATTGTCTTTTCATCAATATGCATGTCTAAAGCATAATGACAAAATGTTCACCCTTTCTGACACATATTACAATAAGATCAGAACACAGTTATCATTAAATATTTAAGTAACCAACAACCCCTACATCTCAGGTGTCAACACCTTTCATCAAGAAAAAAACAATACAGTAACTGAATATAACATGAGACGACGTTGTAATAAATGAAAATAGAGTTAAAAACCTGACAAGAGAGGCTGCAAGAGACCATGTAAAATGGAAAGCTACCATCAAGTAATCATGGATAACCCGCGTAAGTATCGAAAATGGCCATAAAGTGGTGATGATGATCAGGCTGTGCAGATCATGTGGAACATATACTTGCCTGGATTTTTTATTTTTTTTTTACATGCCCTGACAAATTTTTGGAGGTACAGTAGCTAAAACAACTATCTGTGCAGATGGGGATCGATATGCTCCGAAATTTGTTTCCCACAAAGTATGCACAGATAGTTGTTTTAGCTACTGTACCTGTACAGTAATTTACTTGCCCAGATTTTTAAGGAAAACATTAAATAAACATCTGAAAACATTAAAATTTATTGTGTATGACAGATCACTTGTGTCCGTCTAAATGGTGTCAGTGATGGTAACCCTTGTCATGTGATGTCATAACACCTGCAGTGTGTGCAGGTGTGTGTGTGTGGGGGGGGGGGGGGGAGCACCTGTGATCACCTACCCATAATCTGATGGCAATGGCAGTAACACTTGCCATATGAGGTCATAACTCCTGTCACCTCACGACCACAGCCTCTCTCAGCTTGGTGGTTCCTTAGAAATGTTGACAAGTTGACCGACTGACAAGAGAGGCAACTTAGCGTCTTAATGTAGAGGTAAATTATTTGCACCTCACATATGTCACTAATCCTGGCACAATACAGTGTACTGTACACTGATAACCTCCCACGTTAAGCATGTATGGTGAGGTGGTTACACAGCATCTGATAAATTCTTATCCAGGTATTTACCTCTCACAATATCAACTTGTCCGCAAGGCAAGTGCCAGACCACTTGAGCATGAAAAATCACTTGCCGGCCCCTAATCTGGGAATGGTCGAGCAACTGGGCTCTACTAATCTGCACAGCCTGATGATGACACCAATTTGTGATTAAACCAGCTTGGTGTTACTAGTCAATTGCATTATTCTAATTTTGAACAAAACTGCATCCCGGTGTCCAAAAAATGGTCAATGGAAGCCATATCATCTGCAGCTTCATCTACTGAAAAGATGAAAAGAATAGTAAAACCTCGATTAACAGCTCACATATGGGGGGAAGGGGCCAACGGATAATCTGAAAGGTCGGTTAATAGTAAATAAAGACTACGGAAATAAAACATACATTTTTAAGGTACCTGTACCTATCCCTAACCTACCTCATTTAAGTCCCTCTATTCATTTTTGTTCATTTGCCATTCATATTTCAATAGCATTTGCTTTAAAACATTAACCACTTCAGTAAATAAATATGAACCAGCACAGAAACCGTGAATAAAAAAAGGAAAAGTCAAAGAACATAATACTTTAATTACAAAACTTTTCTGAATGAAGTATACTGTACGGCACATAAGCAGTATCCAAAAACCGGAGAAAAGAATAAAATAGTGTTTACAGTACCATAATCCTTCCATGAATGCCTGTACAGTAGAGCCACTGTGTTGTAGTTTTATGTAGACCATTACTTATCTGAATCACCCTCGTCTATTGACATGACAAGTGGATCATCGGCATGATTATTCGAAGCATCAGCTGAGGAGGAGGGTTGAGGGCTAGCTGAGGTAGAAGGCCCAGGCTCGCTTGATGATGGTGTTTTAGAGGGTTTAGGTTTAAAGAAAGTATCAATCTTCACCTGTTTGAATTTTTGATTTTGCCCTTTTATAATCAACTCTCAATGTACGTAAATGTTCGTAGTGCAGATGGAAGGCAGGATCATTGCTGTAATCTATGTGTCCAATTATACGGTCGATCCAGTCATGCATATCAAACAGCTTTTCACCTTTAAAGTTACTCGTCTCAACATCATCATTATCTTCATCATCGCCTTGATTCTGAACACTGGCAGCAATTTCTGCTTCCGACAGTATCTGGTAACCAGGGTCGCCATCATCAGCCTCCAACCATTCACTGATGTCATTAGAACAAACTTGATGCTCCCCTGCAAGACGTAAGCATTCACAAAAATCATCATTTTCAAACCCCTCAAAATCAAACTCAACTTCTTATTCTTTCAAAAGTTTTTTCAAGCAATTTTGCAAGGTTGACTGCTTCATATTTTTCCATGCTCTGGCTAGATTAAACACACATGACTTCATGCTATATGAGCGTATGTTTTCAAGTGTACGCTCACCTCGCTTATCCTCTTAACAGCAGCCTTGATACATCAGCTGGATATGAGATGTTGTTTTGGGAGGCATAAACATACACTTTATTTTGCCGTCGCTGCTGGTCAAGCTCTCAACATCTGGATTCGCAGGAGCATTATCCAACAAAATAACGGCTTTCACATCCTCTGGCTTCACTTCCTTTTCTTCTATTTGAAATTTTCTTATTTCAACTTCAGTTTTCAGAAACCAGTCCAAGCAAATATCGCGGGTGAACCAAGCAGAAGGGTTATTATAATAGTACACTGGTAATTTATGCATTACATCCTTTAACAATCTAGGCTGCCTCGACATCCCCACCATCGCAGGTTTCAACCGATGTGAGCCATCAGCGTTGGCGCAAAATAGCCCAGACACTCTCTGTTTATTCAATTTCCGACCAGGTTGGCTAGAAGATTTCTTTTCCGCTTGTGTGTTCTTTGGAACTGCCTTCCAAAATCACCCGATTTCGTCTGCATTGTAAAGCTGAAATTTTTCAAATTTGGCAGACTGAATGAGTTCGTTCAATTTCTCACAAAAAGGCTCTATAACCTCAAGATCTGCACTGAGACTCTCACCACACACGGGCTTATTACTGATGCCATGGCGTTTACGAAACCGCCAAAACCAATCAGAACTAGCCTTGAAATCTGCCGCACCGCGATGCTGGGCGAGACGTTCAGCAGCATGCTGGATGTCACAAACTAAAGGTAATTTTTCTTTTTAATAATAAACCATTCATTGTTATTTAAGGTCACGAGAAGTTTCCAAATGTTCCTATATTTGTTTAAATAATGAAGAAAATTTTATGTAAGAATCTTGTGGCAGCTGTGGTTGTAGTTGAGTTGCCAATTCATAAATAAAATTTTCTTCATTATTTACGCAAATATACGAAAAATTGGAAACTTCTCTTGACCTTAAATAACAATGAATAGTTTATTATTAAAAAAAAATTACCTTTGGTTTGTTTAATATTTATCCTGACAGTGATACAGCCAAAAAGAGATCCACCAATCACAATCACCTTTATATACAGCCTTACTTTACCAAGTATTGCCAGGTAAAATTGCGAGCATGAGACCCAGGATGGGGTTGGTGCATCTTTGGCTGACTGTACATATTGCTGGCAACACATAAGAATGCAGGAGTGTACGGTAGAGACAGCTAACTTACGGCAGCGTTCGTGCCATGTAGACAAAGCAGCGGGAATTAAGAATGGCACAATAACTCATCAGGAGTCAAAAGATTTTTTTTCCCCAAAAAGAAAGTATCACCAATTAAATAATGGGAGTCAATGTATTACTATGGTAATATAATTATTATGGATGTTGGCTTAGCATTTCATACTGTTTCACTTTGTTTCCAATCTCATCTGATTTCTTTTAAGCACAGAACAGGTACAGTATATAGTATAATTGTTACTGAGACTGTACTGTATGTATTTCACTTATTATGTTTATTATTGGCTTATAAGCATGGTGAACACTAAAAATTGTCAATAAAAACATGTTATGTAATGGGAACTGGGAGTCTAGGGGAAAATGCAATTCAATTTATAAAAGGATTTTAAGGAATGGAACCCTTTTGTAAATTGGGGAATGCCTACTTATAACAATTACCTTAGCTATCCTTTTTCTGACTCTCTTCCTGACATTTACATTATAGACAATATATTCCGTCTTTTTCTCCCTCCAAATGTATCCTATGTCCACAGGGACAATTACTTTATCTGGAAATGAGATTTTGGCACTGTTTTGGATAAAATTGGAATACAAATTTAAATGGTTTGTCAGAGCGCTGATGTGAATTGTGAAAGTAGTGTGGAGGTGGTGCATACAACATGGGTTAATCCATGAGCAGAGTAGACTAAGGGTTAATGCTTATGATATTTTCTTAGCTATTTTCATTCCTTTTGTAAGTATTAACCAGTTATAAACATTTTAAGATAAATTATTGAATTGTTAAACATTTATCACAGGAAACAAAGAAAAACAACAACTATGTTAAGAAAATATGAATTAATGATGCAGCAGACTATCATGTTTGGTGCACTCTGTCACTAAGTGTGGTACTGTTCAAAGTAGTGATGGTGGAAAGAAATTTTTTAAACAAAGGTTAATTTGAAGTGATGCAATTAAAAGTGGAATGTGTTCCTTAAAGCGGCAGCACAGTGGGCACTTTTCCTTTCAACTGTGCTGTGCCAACAAGGGTCTGGCCAACAAAACAAAGTCATTTTCGTCACACTGGGATGTTTTGTTGATACATCTGCCCAATGCAACCAAAACAACAACAAAGCATCTAGACAAGGTTCGTCATGAAGCCCATTACAACAGTTGAGGCCTTGCAGGATTGTGCTACAGTTCTTCAATTGCTGAAGCAAGTATGGCATCTGCACAAGCTAAAGAAGCCATCGTGAAGTTTGTTTACAAGCGGTGGTGGCTGGCTGGTCAAAGAAGACCTTTAATAATGAGTTAATAACGCGAAAGAATTCTAAAGTAACGAATAAATATTAACATGTCATCGTTTTATGTGTTATATTTAAAAATATTTTTGTTTAATGATTCAGTTAAATTTTTATTTTAATATTCAATACCTAATATGAAGGTCATTTGAGCACAAATCCGGCCAGCAAAGCTCGCAGTCAAACCATTGTCCATTTCTCGCAACAGGTGAAATCCTGCTGCTTGCTGGGCTGTCAGACCAGCGGCCAGCAAAAACAGCCAACATGTTGGGAAAAAGGTGCCCAGTGTGCCGCCACCTTGAATTTGTAAGCAACAGTTAAAGATTTACTATAGTGGAGGTTGGAAAAGGTTTTTACATTTCCTTCCAAGTTTTTAACTCTGGAAACTCCCACATCTCATAACTCATTACAAAATTTTCAGAATCTGCTAAAGTGATTTTTCATAACTCAAGCTTTCATATCTTGAGGGATACTTGTAACTTGTATTTAATTTATATGAGCAAGTATAATTATTGTACTACCATATCTATTTCATTAAAGGTGAAAAAAAAGTAAAAAAAAATAAATAAAAAAATATTTATTAAGTATTCCCTTATTCATGTAATATTACTATACAGTAGTAGAATTATTATTTCTCTGATTTAAAAAAATATATAAAAATCTCCAGATTCACAATTGTTTGGTTAATATGTGTGTTCAGGTGCTTGTTTAAAAGTACTTTTCGCATTCCAATATCTTTTACTTATCAGTCCTGCAGTTTCCCCATTACCAAATTTTTTCATTTAAAATCAAAATACCTATGTAAGGACTCAATGAATCAACATGAGATAGTACAGTACTGTGGTTCAGTTTTAAAAATGCTGTATTTACTTCTACAATGCATCTGAAAGTTTATATATACAGGTGCTCCTCTATTTAAGAACGTTCAACTTACACACTTTCAGAGATACAAACATCATCACTGAGGGGGTTACCTGCCAGAACAGGTGTTTAATGTGGATGAGACTGGATTATTTTGAAGAAAATTCCAGATAGAACAAACATTACCTAAGAGGAGAAGAGTGAGCCAGGTTTTAAGGCTGTATTAAAGGGTATAGCTGTACTAAATATCCATAATCATTTATTTTTTTACAATATGTTTGGTATCTACAAGAGTAAAATTGGACTTACAAACAAGCCTCAGGAACGTAACTCGATCATAAGTAGAGGAGCACCTGTATATAAAACTGGGTAAATATAAATAACAAACTGCAAAACAAAAAGTTGGATAAACACTTATGCACAACAGTGAAACAGTTCCTCAGCAGGAACACAAGTGGAGTGAAAGACTGGTATTGTCAAGATAGTCTAACCCAAGGAGGTTGAATGGATGGAGGCGGCACCCACTGCCTCAAGTGAAGTCACTGAGTGTGAATGATGCCTTGACTAATATGGAAGAGCTTTTCTCTCAGTGACTTCATCTTCCTTGGTTCATCCCTCTATAATGTGCATAATAAATAAAACAATAGTATAAACCCTGCAGAGTTATCTACAACCAATGTTTGTTCGTAAGTAGCTGCAGCAACTGTGGCTGTGTTGCCCTCACCATGATGGCGGCCTGGCTTCACACGTCTCTGTTACATACACAGCGAACACAGCCTCCATCCATTCAACCTCCTTGGTCTAACCTAATTACATCCCTACCTGATGGTATTCCATGGTTCCTGTGTTATTAAGAATTTCTCCTGACTGTTCACCTTTGTTCATTTGATCATTCTTTAACAGTGCATTGGCTTGTGCTTCACTGATGATGGATACCCGAACCTGAGGGGGTGTCATGTTCACGTTGAGTTTGCCACCCACCAACAACCGTACTGTTGCTGTAAACCGGGTGTTTGTTTTCATCACTTGGGGTGGTTGTTTCTCAATGATGAATGTGCTAAAAAGAGAGTGTATGCAGATACAATTAGTCAATAGCTTCTTCATTATCATTACAAACTGTGTGTTGTGAGTACATTAAGTCTAAATGTTGCAGATACTTGCTAAAACAAGTTATGTTTGGCATGCAGAAGGCAAATTACATAAACTAAAACACTAGTTGGTAAGAAGACAGTACCCTGGTACAGTGAGTTCTGCTATAACGCGTGTTTTGATAACGCGAATTTGCTCTAACGCGATTTATGAATTCGGAACAATATTTGTATAACGCGAACGCTTGTTTGCTATAACGCGATTTTTGCTTACTATTTCTCCAATTTTGTGGTATTAACTGTGAATATGGTAAAGAAGAATATCTCCAAAAAGCGTTCTGATGATAGAATTCCCGGTGATTATCGTAAAAGAAAGGATATAACACTTGAAGAGAAGCTCGATGTTATCAACCTCAAAATCACCCTTCTCCCCCATCAAGTTACATTCATATTTTTTCAAGGTAAAGTGTTAAATTTACTGTATGATTTCATTATTAGATATGAATGTAACATTTATTTAGACTGTGCTATCCTTTGTGTTAGGCTAACTACTAAATTTTTTCGATTTCGAGTAATCTGCACCTAACCCTATTTTCTCCATAAGCCCTGTTATTTCTATTACGCGATTTTCTATAACACGATATTTTACAAGAACACAATTATCGCGTTATAGCAGAACTACCTGTAACTGTATGAGGAAGTACATGGGGTAAAGTGGGAAAAAAGTGAAAGACATACTGAAAATAAAAGAATTGATTCAAATGAAAACGATGCGTATGGTACATATTTGGGTTATGTGTGTCCTACATATGCCTGTTGTCTTAAAACAGGAGAAATATTTTTGTGTAGTACATATATATACAGTAGGTTCCTTAAATTTTGGATGCATTCTTTAATAAAAATTCAAACATTAAAAAACTCAAACTACGAACACTGGATAAAATGTGGCCCTCGGAAAATTGTTCCCAAAGCCGTAATTTTCCTGAAAATTCTGAAAAACTTCCCCGATTCTCGGAAAATTCCAGGGATGGGGGAGGTTTTTATGGGTTTGAGAGATGAAAATCAGGCACATTTTCTGGAAATTCCAAGAAAAATTTTCCATTACCCGGAAAATTACGGGGATGAGGGATATTTTTCCGGGTTCGGAGATGATGTAATGGGCAATTTCTGGAACTTCTGAGAACATTTTTCTGTTAAACCGGAAAATTACGGGGATGAGGGATATTTTCCCGGGTTCGAGAGATGATGTAATGGGCAATTTCTGGAACTTCCGAGAACAGTTTTCCGTTACCCAATATATTGAAGTCCAATTTATTGAGGTTTTACGTACAGTAAGATCTCATGCTTCACGCGGTATCATTTCGAGAGCACTACCTAATATAACCGAGTTTTGTATTTGGCGTAAAATATCGTGAGTTTCGTGAGATCCAGCCAGCTGAACGCTGTAATATTTAATGTTGCAGCATAAGTATGTTTTTTGGTAACTGGCCAGCCGCACTCTCCCTCCCCCCGTGTGACGTCAGGGAATACAGGCAGCAGCCACGCACTTCTCTTGAGTCAGTTTCATGACTGCCCGGATGAAATGTGTCGCCTTTATACTGTACCAATATATGTGAAGGATACAGTAAATAAATATAATTATAATAAGTAAAATAAATAAATACTGGGTTGCCATTTGGCAATCATCTCACGGTACACGAGACGGAAAAGCTGGCCACCGTCTTGTATGATGTCACAGCCCTGATACCAGTTACTCCCTCGCCATCCTACCGATCGCCCGGGCTGCTGTTGTGTGCCTTTTTTGGTGGTGCTACCAACTGTCGAGTCAAGATAATGGCCTCTACCTCTACTGGGGGTCCTACTGGTGCCGATGGGGATGGGAAGACCCACCTAAGCGGTCAAATAAGGAAAAGGTAAAGCGGGACTATCATAAGGGAGTTAAGTTTGCCAAGTACTCGATGCAGGATAAGCAGCGTGTGATTAAGTTACTTGAGGAAAGCCTAAAAACTAGTGAGATAAGAAAGATTACTGGTTTTCCGGAAAGCACAATCAGGTCAATAAAGGCAGAATTTGTATCATTTGGAGGTTATAATCAGGAAAATCAGAGGTTGATGTAGAGTGGCCAGTCTATACTGTTATTTTCCCCATTAGTTTTTGGATTTGCATTTGGCAAATTTGAATTTGGCGCAATCTTTCCAGTCTATATTACTCGCGAAATACAATATATATACACACAGCGGTCCCTCCATTAACGAAAGGTCCAATTAATGAAATTTCGGTTTACGAATTAGCTCCGACAAGGATTTTAAATTCCATTAACGAACAATACTTTGATTAACGACAGCCTTACGAGAAACACGCTTTGTTGTGCGCATCAGCTGATCGGCTAGTCCGCCAATACAGTAATTGGTTCTATGTTTACATTCGTTACCAGTGGAGTAAATATCAAGAAAGTTGTGCTCTTGAATATTTTTGCATTTTTTATATTAAAATTATTGGTCATTCTAATTTAGTTAACTGTTGATAATATATACAGTACAGGGAACAGTTTTTGTGTGCCAATCAGCTGATCGAATCACCAACCAACGCTTATCAGTTGGTTTACAGTGGAGTGAACACCCAGTTTGTTGGTCTCTTGAATATTTTTGCATTTTTACATTAAAATTATTGGTCATTCTGAAATTTAGTTCACATATTGATAATATACAGTGCAGAAATTATTATGAAACATGAAGAAAGCATTAGAACCAAGGCACTTTGTAAAGAATATGGCATGTCATCATCGACTGCCTCTACAATCAGCTGTTTGATATGTAAACAAAGCTGCCACGAATACGACATACACACCTCAAACTAAGTTAAAATATTGTGTTCTATTGTTTTTTATTTATTATTATACAGTACTCCATACTGTACTGTACAGTACTGTATTTAGTTTATATTTAATGTTTTGTTAATTTTATTATCGGTATACAGTACTTTGTACAGGTGCTCCTCTACTTACGAACGAGTTATGTTCCTGAGGCTTGTTTGTAAGTCCAACTTTACTCTTGTAAATACCAAACATATTGTAAAAAATGAAAAGATTATGGATATTTAGTACAGCTATACCCTTTAATACAGCCTTAAAACCTGGCTCACTCTTCTCCTCTTAGGTAATGTTTGTTCTATCTGGAATTTTCTTCAAAATAATCCAGTCTCATCCACATTAAACACCTGTTCTGGCAGGTAACCCCCTCAGTGATGATGTTTGTATCTCTGAAAGTTTGTAAGTTGAACGTTCTTAAGTAGAGGAGTACCTGTATATATACTTTTTCTGTGAGTTGGAACCAATTACCCAATATTCCATTGAAATAATGGATTCAGTTAATGAAATTTCCGGTTAACAAACGACTATGTGGAACCAACTGTGTTCGTTAAACGCGGGACCAATGTATATACAGTTGTACCCCACTTAACGCAGTCAATAGAACCCAGAGGGTCCCGTGTTAAGTGAACAACAGAACATATGGGATTAATTCCAATAGAAACCGGCCCGACCCCCAAACTCCACTTTTTGAAGACACATAACTATGTTGTAGTAAAAATAACATCTTAATTTTATGATGGTACATGCACACAATTAATACTTAAGAGAAATAGAGAAATACAGTCGCCAAGTTAATGTCCATTCAAATAATGGACTCAACTCCCTCCCCCTCTCACACTACACTGCCGGCTCTTCCCTCTCTGAGAAATTTTTGGGGGAAAACCACTAAATTTTAATAAATAATACCTCAAACTAAAGTTAGGATAATACAATTGACATTGCTGGATTCCTTGTAAGACCAGGAATATTTTGAATATAAATGTCATATATTTTGCACAAAAGATAACATAGTTACCCAGAGAAAAAATTTTATCTAAAATTTGTATGTCTAATGCAAAATATATGATGTTTATATTCAAAATGATCACCAAATTATAAGAATTCCAGCAATGTAAATTATATTCTGACCGGGTAATTTGTATGAATTTTATGAGCTAAAACAAATATCTTCAGTTAATAAAAAAAATAATAATCTTCACGACACTATCTGTCAATCAAAGTACCCCACCTTGCCTCCCCCCCTCTTCCAACCGCACGGTCAGTCCCAACCCTCCCCCCCACCCCCCACCAATCCTCCCTTCAAGAGATGTGGGGTGAAAAAAATAAATTTTAACATTTTGTATTAAATAATACCTCAGATTAAAGTTAGGATAATATAATTGACATTGCTGGATTCCTTGTAAGACCAGGAATATTTTGAATATAAATGTCATATATTTTGCACAAAAGATAACATATTTACTCAGAAAACATTTTATCTAAAATTTGTATGTCTAATGCAAAATATATGATGTTTATATTCAAAATGATCATCAAATTATAAGAATTCCAGCAATGTAAATTATATTCTGACCGGGTAATTTGTATGAATTTTATGAGCTAAAACAAATATCTTCAGTTAATAAAAAAAAAAAATATTCTTCACAGGGTAACAGATGGTCGGTCGGTCCCTCCCTCCCCCCCACCCCCCACCAACCGTCCCAAGGAGATGTGTGGGAAAACCAGAATACTTAACTTTTTTGTAATAAATAATACCTCAAACTAAAGTTAGGATAATATAATTGACATTGCTGGATTCCTTGTAAGACCAGGAATATTTTGAATATAAATGTCATATATTTTGCACAAAAGATAACATAGTTACTCAGAGAAAAAATTTTATCTAAAATTTGTATGTCTAATGCAAAATATATGATGTTTATATTCAAAATGATCACCAAATTATAAGAATTCCAGCAATGTAAATTATATTCTGGCCGGGTAATTTGTATGAATTTTATGAGCTAAAACAGGCAGTCAGGCAGGGTGGCGGGTGGGCAAATCTAAAATAGCGTCTAGCGGGACACTCACCGCGTATATGTGGAAAAAAAATACGGTTAAGTGAAAGTTCATTTCATGGCAGGTACCGCGCATATGATAAAACGCTAAGTATAAAAAAAAAAACCGCTAAGTAGGCGGGTAATACTGCCGTATATATATATATATATATATATATATATATATATATATATATATATATATATATATATATATATATATATATATATATATATATATATATATATATATATATATATAGGTATATATATATATATATATATATATATATTTCATTAGCCCAATAAAGCAAGCGGGCTTCTACATACAATCAACACCTCAATCCGCCTGGATTCGAACCCACAGCACACGAGCCTATAACTGTGACCTGGGAACGCTAACTGCTGGACCACCAGGATACAAAAAGTAGTCCTAGACTTTGTAATATTTCACACAAAGCCTCTTCAATAACCTTATGGCGCCATGAACCACTAATGGGGACTACCCATAACACGTAGGTGGTCAGAGTAACGTTTTACCAAATCTGTCACAGTCATGGCCTGCGGGCCGTGGGTTCAATCCTGGTGGGTTGAGGTGTTGATTGTATATATATATATTGATAAAATCACACAGGGAAAAAGGGAAACAATGGAGCACCTTAGCTTTCGTCTTTATTCAAGACATCTTCAGAGGTAACTGAATTACATGGACGGAGAGAGGCTTAAATACACAGGGTGACCTTATTAAACATGAGGTCAGGTCATAATCATGACATTCACTAATCCGCATACTAACACCAACACACACGCAGAGGAGCTTAAGAGAAAGGGCGACGTGACTAGTCAAGTTAAGTCCATGTAATTCAGTTGCCTTTGAAGATGTCTTGAATAAAGACGAAAGCTAAGGTGCTCCATTGTTTCCCTTTTTCCCTGTGTGATTTTATCAAGATTTATCTTATCCACACACACATATATATATATATATATATATATATATATATATATATATATATATATATATATATATATATATATATATCATGTAGATTCACAATGAAAACGTGGATAAGATAAATCTAGATAAAATCACACGGGAAAAGGGAAACAACGGAGCACCTTAGCTCCGTTGTTTCTCCGTTGTTCTGTGGGTTCTGTTACTTACAAATTATCCAAGTGACTGGTAAAGATGCTATCCCCTCTTACAGGCCAAATATCTAATTCACATATACACAATAGCAGTTATTTAATTGATAAACTCAAGAAGCACAATGAACCTTGCGAATTAATAAGTTTTGATGTAAATTCACTGTTCAATAGATTACCTGTGAAAGACCTACTTTCATTTCTTAAGGATAAATTACAACTGTTAGATTTAACTATTGAACATGATACTTTCCTCAAATTGATAGTTATGCGTAACTGACAATGTGTTTAGAGCAAATGGGAAGTTCTACAAGCAAATATTTGGCATGAGCATGGGTAATTGTCTTTCTGCTCCTCTAGCCTGTATTTATATGGAGTTTTTTGAGTCTAGATTACTACCCAATATAGTGGACTTTATTCCTCCATGGTATAGATATGTAGATGATGTTCTTTGTCTTTGGCCTAGAAACAGTGACCCATTGGAATTTTTAGACAAGCTTAATGATATTGTCCCAAGTATCACATTCAAAATTGAAAGAGAAATAAATGGATCCCTTCCATTCCTTGATATGCTTATCATGAGAAATGGCCAAAACTATAAATTTAAGGTATATAGAAAGCCCACACAGGTAGACAGTTTCATTCACTTTTTATCGAATCACCTTGAGTCTACCAAAATGTCAGTTTTTTCTGCTATGTTCCTAAGATGTCTGCGTATTTGTGACTCTGAATTTATTGACGATGAATTGAAACACATTCGTTCCATTGCACTAAAACTTGGGTACCCTTCAGGGTTTGTTGATCATTGTTTTAAAAGGGCTAAAAAAATCCTTTCATTCTACTCAAACCAGGCAAATTCCTACACTTAAGAATATTTTGACTCTGCCTTATCGCAATGAATTTGTCCCGTTGGTTCAGTCCCTTAAATTATTAAATATTAATGTTGTTTTTAAGTATGACTCGACCATTACCAATATACAGTATTAATCAAGAATAGCCCAACTTTGAATGTAAATGGAAGTGTTTATTGTATTCCATGTAGCAAATGTAATGAAATTATGTTGGACAGACTGGGAAAGCATTGCAACTAAGAATCAAACAGCATAAGTACAATATCAGAACAGCATCTGAAAGCAGTGCACAGTTCGTTCATGTTAGGAATAATAATCATCCCATTGATTGGGAAAAAAGCTTAGAAGTTTACAAATCATCATGTGTCACAGAAAGACTTCTGGTTGAAGCTAGTTTGATTAGGGAATTAAATTCCATAAACCTTAATGATGGTCAGTACAAAACTGATAATATGTTACATAAATTTTCTTGTCAGTGGCCCAAGGTTAAAAATGCTTTGAAAACCTTGGAGCTAGATGTAGGATAGATATTTAGTGGGTCTCATATTTTTTGACCTGACTTAACTTGACTAGTCACGTCGCCCTTTCTCTTAAGGTCCTCTACTTGTGTGTTGGTGTTGGTGTGCGGATTAGTGGATATCATGATTATGACCTGACCTCATGTTTAATAAGGTCAATCCATGAAACTAAAACTCAGGTAACAATCATCAACCTGAACAAATTTAAAAAGGATGGATACATGTAAAAACCCTTCCCAAACATGTCAAACACTAACCAAATTCAAATCTTCAAGCTCTGCAGACTCACCAACAACACTTGACACACATGCTACACATTTCTAAATGCTTCTTTTCCAATCACGTAAACAAACCTATTGCCAGGTGTTTGCAACAATAAAATTAAATGAGTGTTAAAAAATCTACATGTGGATATAAAGAGATAAACATCAACATCTTCTCACATTAACATCAATACAAAACTGGATAACTTTTAATTCTTTGCTATATAACAAGAGTGAAAATTAATTAAACAGCACCATACAACTGTTGCGGTCTTTAGGGAGTTAATTTCATGAAAAATTATACAACTATCTGAACAGGAGATTGAATCTCTTTTCTCAGCCTTACCAAGGAAGACTGTGGCTCATTAACATTGTTCAAACAAAGAACCCTGAAGTTCACAAACTTTAAGTTCCAAAATAAAAATATCTACAGTTTTACCGGGTCTATCATATTACAGTGAACCCTCACTTTACGTGGTCAATTGAACCCACGGCGGCCCGCGTAAAGTGAGAAACGAGTAAAGCGAACAACACAACATATGGGATTAATTGAAATAGAGACCGGGCCGACCCCCAAACTCCACTTTTTCAGACACAATACCTACGTTGTAGTAAAAATAACTACTTAATTTTATGATGGTATGCACACACAATTAATAATTAAGATAAATATCAATAATATTAGGCTTTTTAACACTTACATTAGTAGAAAAGATGGCTGGGCACACGGGGATCGGGGGTTGGTTCCGAGGCAGAGGGCAGATTATTGGCCCTCACCTGTATCACTTGTATCAATTGTATCACTGTCCACCACAGAGGCTTGCAGGGCCTCTTTGTCAAACCCCTCAAAGTCCATATCCTCACTATCATTATCACTATCACTGACTTGGGCCAGCTGTGGTGGGTGGCGGGTGAAGAACTCGGTAATGTTTTGATGACTGGGCGACCTTGTGCGCACCCTGCTCGCGCCGCTCTCCGCATAAAAGGGTACACACACCGTGGAAAGTGAGCATTCCGGTTTTGGCAGGGTACCGCGTAAACATGGAAACGAGTAAAGTGAAACCGCGTAAAGCGGGGTTTTACTTTATCTATTTTGTGTAATGTACTGTACATTCTTTCAATTCCACTCACAGCTTAAAGACAAATGAAAGTTCTAGGTGGTTATGAGTGTTTCCTTCCACATTCAGTACAATAAGAAATACAAAATCTAACAATGATAAATGCTATCACTAACAGTTTGGCCAAATGTAAAAAAGGAATTATATGATGGATGTTTGTGGATGCATGAAAGATAAAATGAGAAAATGGAGAGACCAAAAGAGAATTACCAAGACTGTGCAAAGGATCCTCAGGATCTGAGCAAGGATAGAGATGTATAGAGGAAACTTTATTAAGGATTTTTTCCAGTTGGCAAATGAAAGCCAGCTGATTGCAGATAGATGGATTGATGAACAGAAAGAGATAGTAATGACTGATACTCTGTTTCACAAGTAGATAGACTAATAAATATATAGAAGGACAGAACACCCAAATTACTTACCTTGTGACAAGAGAGGACAAGAGCCTTGTAATGTGAGAGTTCAGAGTGGGCAGCATATCAACGCCTCCAGGTGGAGTGATGGGTATTTTTGTCTGGTGCCGTTCACATTCTTTTATTTGGAAGCGATTAAGCCATATTATTTCTGCTAATGCCTCACACCTAAATAGAAATAAACATACATAAATAAATAAATACAATCCTTCAACAGAGTTATATCAGTCAACACCATATGCAACTGTAGCATCGCTTATATTTTCCAATTACAGGTACAGTAGAACGTCAATTTAAAGCGATTCAATTTAAGATTATTGATTTAAAGGGACACCAACAATTAAGGACAATGTTTTAATTTAAAGCGAATCTTTCCTATTTTGCGCGAGTCGATCTGGTGCATCATATTTTAAAATTCGCGCCTAATGTTTCTCTGGGCACGCTACACTGTCCTAAGGCCAAAGCTGTACTGTACATGTACTCAAAATACTGTACTAAACGATTACTAAAATTTTGTCGAGTGCAAACTATAGCCTGATTATATTCAAATTAATCAATACCTTATAAGAATTCCAGCAATGTAAATTATATTCTCCCCGGTCAGTTCTGTGACATTTTATAAATAAAAAACAAAAACTCAATCTAAAGGACATAAATAAACAAATAAATACTTCACTAGACCTTCGGCACAACTGTCAAACATGTCACCTCCCCCATCTTCCCAGCCAGGGTTTGGTGGTATTAGGGTTTAAGTTTTTATCTTATATAATATCACAAATTAAAGTTAGGTGAATGTAATTTGCATTGCTAGAATCCTTGCAAGACGGCAAATAATTTGAATGTAAACGTCATATATTTTGCACAAGAGAAATTTTTTTTAGCCCTCTGCAATAAAATTAATTAGAACATGTCAGTTCAGTAACATTTTATAAGAGAAAACTTAAAGTCACTCTTAAGGACAGATAAATAAATAAGCACTAGACCTTGGCAGCAACTGTCAAACATGTCATGTCACCTCACCTCACCTCACTCCCCCCCCACTCTTCCCATCAGCTTATCACTAGTAAACAGACAATTTCACGTCCCATAATTTTAGCTATGTTGATTTATGAGTGTTTGTTAACATAATACTACAAAAAACAATGTTCTGTTTAATCTAAGAGATGGGCTGAGGTGCAACTGGGTCGACTCTCAGTCTTTTTAGTATTTTGTGTTTCTCTCAAGTGCCAAACTAAATTATTTCATTGAAACAACACTTCGATTTAGTGCGAATTTGGTTTAAAGCGACCTCCCTTGGAACGTATCTTGTGTTGTATCGACGTTCTACTGTACTGTATATTACAGATAAAAGTATACTGTATGTGGTATGTTTAATCATATGTACAATAATTTAAAAAAATAATTATTGTACTAAAGATCATAAGAATATTATTACCAAACTGACATATTGTTTTCTGTGGTTTACAAATGAACTGTATAATCATCTCTCGAAGAAACTCTAAAGATCTACATAAATTGTAAATCGGTTTGCCATCTATTCATTAAAGAAAGTACTATCTTATGAAGTCTTCTTAAGTTTTTCACGCATAATTTTCCTCGCTCTCCAGCTCTCAGACACTGTCTTTAACAATATGTACAGCACTCCCCCCAAATAAAAAAATATACACACCCCTCGTTTACTACACCCCTTACGTAATTTCATTAACGAACTGCCTTCCATAATCTTCACCCGGTCAACTAAAAAAATTGTTTAACGGGTTCTTACTTAACCGACCTCAACATGTTTTCGCTTACTGACCGGCAACCAGCTTTAGTATCAGTCCGCCAATACATTAATCGGTTCTAGGGCTTAAATTCCTTACTATTTTAGTAAATATCAAGAAGTTTATACTATTCAATAATTTTAAAAGTTTAATATTCAATTTTTAGTCATTTTAACAATTATTGAACATAACTGAAGGTAAAGTGACTAGTTTAATGCGCGGCATCCAGCCTCTTAACACAGCAAACAGGAGTTAGTCTCTCTCTGTTTTCACTGGAGGTAACATCTTGCTTGAGACTCTCTTCAACTAAACGCTTTTTTTCTGTGTTTCCAAGCAAATTATTGGTCATTTTGAAATATATTTTACATATTGACAATATATAATGCAGTGCAGTGTTGATTTAAAGAAAATAATCTTGAATTACACCAAGAGAACTAAAATTTTATGGGTGAAATGGCGCCATGGGGTGACTTCTCTTCCACCCCAATGCCTTCTCTTTTTCCTTCTCCTCCAACCCCATTCTAAATCCCATCATCATCATCATCATCCAGGAGCCTTCTACATACACACCTCAAAGTAAGTGAACTTTTCTACCATTTTTGTTGAATTTAGGAAATTTTCGGTGAGCTGGAACCAATTACCCAAAAACCCATTGAAACAATGGTTTCGGTTAACGAACGACCTTCTGGAACGGATGAGTTCGTTAACGGAGGGGTCACTGTACTATAATAATAATATAGGGTTTCCCATGCCCCATACTTAACATCATTGTCTCAAAATTTACCTGGAACAACTTTTAACTCTTTTACTGTTGTTTTATTGAGGTTCTACACCCAATCCTTGTAAAAATAAAAAGAGAGAAAGCATCGAATCCAATATTTGCGTGTGAACCAGAAAATGTATTTACTCATGACTGTCAGGCGGTGTTGAAATTGTGACAGCAAGTGGACTGCCTGTCTATACTGGCCAACATTCAATGTGGGCCCATTGTCTGCACTGATGCTTATTACATTATTTCCTTCAACTTTTTCTATTGCATTTAATTTGCTTTCAGTACAAAAATATAACTATGCACATTCATTGTTGGCCTTACATGAATCAAGCTTGTATAAATATCTTTTACTGTATATCCTACAAAATGTATTGAAGATACATTACACATAAAAACATACGTACAGCAGATATTTTCTTAAAACAACCCTCTTCCATTCATTTGTTCTACCTTTTCTAATGCTTGTTTTTATAACACCATTTTTGCAATGTGTAGTTATAAGTATAACTTCTAATATCACTTGATATCATCATCATTTTATGGCCACTTTCCAAGCTTACATGGTTTAGCTATAATTACTTTATGGCAGCTCTTTATGCTGTGGTATTGCAACTTCTCTCTATCAGGTCCTTTACCCTGAGGCCATTTCTTACAGCTGATGAAAGTCTGGTCTATGCTGCATTTCCTGAGATAGTGTATAGGTAGTAGGCAGCTACCAAACAGGGAGGCACTACTGCCTGGGAAGATATTGGAAGAATAATGTATAGTCTAATGGTAGACCCTGCTGCCATATGGCACCACGAAAATTGTGACCAAGTCCCAGGTTGCTGATCTGATTTTCTGCCTCATTTACACACAATTACAGGGTCTCAATTGTTTCTCTTACTATTGACAACACAACATACAGTGGTCCCTCGGTTAACGAACACAATTCGTTCCAGAAGGTCGTTCGTTAACCGAAACCAGTTTCAATGGGATTTTGGGTAATTGGTACCAGCTCACTGAAAATTACATACAAACTAAAAATAAATGCAGTAAAGTACACTTACTTTGAGGTGTGCATGTAGAAGGCTCCTGGTTGATGATGATGATGGGAATTAGAAGTGGGGATGGAGGAGAAGGGAGAAGTGAAGGCAGTGGGGTGAAAGAGAAATCACCCCATGCTTCATGCCGCCATTTCACCCATAAAATTTTAAGTTCACTTGGTGTAATTCAAGATTATTTTCTTTAAATCAACACTGCACTGCACTATATATTGTCAATATGTTAAATAAATTTCAGAATCACCAATAATTGTACTGTAAAAACATAAAAATAGTTTATGTTCAAGAGTCTCAAGCAAGATGCTTCCTCCACTGAACAGAGACACAAACTGACGCCATTCTGGGTGAGTCAAGTGGCTGTTTGGCATGCTAAAAACTAGTTCCCTGTACTTCAATTATGTTAAATAATTGTTAAAAATGACTAAAAATTTTAATATAAGACTTGGAAAATTATCGAATAGTACAACCTTCTTGATATTTACTCAAATGGTAACGAATTTAAGCCCTAAAATCGATTACTGTATTGGCGGACTAATACTCCAGCTGGTGAGCAGGTGAAAACATGTTGACACGATTTTGTAAGGATTTCGTTAACCGAATTTTTGTTCGTTAATCGAATTGAAGATTCTTATGGAAGGTAATTCGCTAACCGAAATTCCGTTAACCGAGGGATCACTATACAGTACATATATAGTGTTTCTCATTTTTAAAATTTTTTTCATTTTTTTTGTATTTATTATTATTATTACAGTGTTGTTATTATTATTATTCTCATCATTATTAATTTATTATTTTATTTTCAAATTTTTATTTTTTATTATAAATTTTATTTACTATGAATTAATATTATTATTATTATTATTACACTCTCGCCCCCCAGGCCCCGATGTGGGTCAGTGACCTGTGCCCGGGTGGGCTAATCCCCATGAAAAAAAAAAAAGACAGTGCTTCAGTACCTGGGTTTGTAGTGGTGAGCAGGGGTAGGCCATCCCATTCAGTTTAACCCAACAGCTACCATAAGGTAATTGCAGCTACTTTATGCAAGCTTATAAAATGGCTGTAAAATGATGATGATTAAGACATGGTTAACATTACCTTGCAACAGTGATGATATAAAAAAAATCATAATCACACTCACCAATCTTGTATCTGGTCAAGTTTATTCTGGTTAAAAGGTTTTCCATTTCCTGCCATCTGCTGTTCCCGTTTCCAGTTAATAAGTTCTTCATCCAGAATCCGTTGCTGGAGATTATTTAGACGGTCTATGGTTCCTTTGTGTTTCTCAGCCAGGTCCATTCGTCGCTGCAGCAACCCTGACACCTAATGATAAGAACTTTCTCAATTACCAAGACATCCCATAACACAATAAAAAAAATCACAAATTGGTCAGGCTGATAAAAGAACATTAAAAAAATTTATTTGCAAAGGAAATTAACAAATTACAATTGTAAATTGTAATATAAATAAAATGGAGGATAATTAGTTTTTATTGTGTTACTTTCAAAGTCATACCTATAATGGATCTTCCTATCAAATTCACCATATACATTATCATTACCTTCTGAGCCAGTTGCTGTTCACCAACATCTTTACGTCTCCTCAAACTCTGTTCGAGTTCCCGATTCTGTTGTGTTCTCTCTTGACCTTGAATGTGAGAGAGATGTGCTGCAACAAATAAAGTAAGTAAGAAATACAACTAAATACTTTTTAGATAAAATGCCATGAGTACCTGTGGCAAAGGAAATGAGAAAGACATAAAAGTTTTTTTAAACCTTTTCAAGTTTACCCAGAAAACTGAAGTTGTGCTGGACAAGTGATCTGAATACAAGATAATATTCTTGTCATGCAACACAGTAAAATTAAATACAAAACTAGAAAACATTGCAGACTTCAGGTAATAAGAAATTAAAATTTATATGCTGTATACTATATAAAAATTATATAAAAATACACTGTAACATCAGTACAAAGACTACAAGGGTGTGTGATACCTTGGAGAAGAATATGAAGGAGCAATTTAAAAGTGCATTATGCAGTACAGTATATAGTGGGGGTCCACCTGTACATGGGTAGTATTTTTAAAGGGTTGAAATCTGTGCATGTTGGGGGATGAGTGGGGCACCTGTTGTCTTAAATCATGAAAAAGATTTACCAATTAGTACCAATAAGCATTGTACTTACCAATTAGGGTAGTACTAATAAGCTATGCAATGCCTGTATTAGGCTAAGCTCCTTAACCTAACGGTAGGCTAACTTACGACACGCTTCCGGTAGGGTAAGGTACTGTAGGTCTATCGATAAGTTTCTTTCTGTAGGCTAGCTTGCCAGCAGATTCCTTCTTCTGTACTGTACATCAATGGCATAATGCCATTCATTTATGGATTCATATGCCACATTACCAGTAATTATACACATACTGGGACAAATAAACATTCATTTCACACTCACATTGTATGACCAGTCTCACTTCTTTTTATTATTTAAGGTGATACACCAGTAGATGGCATTGTTGCCAAGTCGGAAATTGAATTTCAAGTTACTAGCATTTCTCTTTTCAAACACTTTTACCGTAAGTAAAGCAAATTACTGTAGCAAAGAATGTAAAGATCTAAAACAAATAACTAGAGAAAAAGAGAGCAAAAAATACAAAAACAAAATGCAGTTTCTGACTTGCAACACTTGGTCGCATCAGTCATGTTATAATGCTGTCATGCATGTGAATAGATATATAACTGAAAGTGTTTCTAATCCCAAATACTTATCATATACAATATGAAGCAGAAAATACCGGAATGTGAGGATTCAAAAAAGAATAATGTAAGGGAGTAAAATTCACACTGGGTTTATATTTTGCAGGTTTGAGGGAGAGACGCGGCACCACTCTTAATAGTGTCATTCACCTGTTTGCTGTGTCTTATGCTTAAATACTAAAGACAGTGTGAAGACAAAAACATACAGTATTACAAAAACTAGCTCAGTTGGTATTGCTAGCTACGAACACTAGCTAACATTACGCCTCCAAGGCTGTTCCCCAATATGATAACAGTGAATTTTACTTCTAGAGTAATGTAATATTTTACTTCTAGGGTTATATTATATGACCATATCCCATACTAGGCCTATCAGTATCCCTCAAACCCAAGGGTAGAATTGTCGTCTTATATACGAAAAGAAAGTTTGGGGTTGACCTATACACGAGATCAACTTATACATGTGTACATACAGTACTGTATGTATATCCCTGACACCTTGATCCCTCCAGTAACTCTTCTTAAGGGAGATGCCACACACTCTGTCAACTCGTAACATTCTATCTACAGACGACCTTCACACCTACATGTGTTAAATCTTGACTCTACTAACATTCAACAAAAATTATATCTTAATTTGCATAATACCACATGGGATGATTTTTTTTCTTTAAGCAGAGTAAAAAAAGAGAAGAAGAATTTAGTGCAAGGAAGGTATTGTAAGAAATAAAATATAATTGTTGTGTTACTATGTATGGTAAAGTTTAGGTTTTATGAAGGGTATGAGTGGTTTCTCCAATGTTTTTTCTGGTGATATATTTTTATGAGTTGAAGTGTTTTTGCTCGTAATCCTGTACTCTAACCATTCGAAATGGCTTCCAAGTGCCCATCAAGTGCTACTGATGCTAGTGTCGTGAAGAAGCAACATAAGACCATTAACCTAGCTACGAAAATGGAGGTTTTAACCCATTTTGAAATGTGGAACGTGTGGTGGAAATAGTTGCTACTCTAGGTTTAACCCCCACAACAGTGCGTACTATCCGGACCAATACGGACAAGATTAAGGCTAGTGCTGGAAGTGGTAGTTTTCCGAGTGCAACAAAGACAAGTAGTACTCGAAGTTCTTTGGTTGAAAAGATGGAAAAGATGCTGGCTATGTGAATGAAGGATCAGAATCAATGCAATTCCCCTGTGAGCCTTATGGTTATCCAGCATAAAGCAAAATCCTTGTTTGACGACTTAAAGGCAGTAGAGGGTGAAAGATCAAAGGAAGAGAACTTTACGGACAGCCGAGGATGGTTTCAACGTTTTAAGTATTGTTATAACTTTCATAACATTAAGATGACTGGTGAAGCTGATTGTTCAGATACGATTGCTGTCGAGATATTCCCGCCTGAATTAAAAAACATTATCCAGGAAGGAGACTACTCGGCGAAGCAACTGGGGTTGCAATTGTTGGGGCAACTTAGATGTCTGATTACAGTTAGAACATTCAAGATCCATTGTGAGTGATGTTGAAAGCTTCAACTGTCTTTATGGTTGGTAAAACATGTCAAGTAAGTGAGTGTCAAGTCAGTCAGTATGAGTGGCATGTGTGAGTGCTTGTGTTTGTACAACCGCTTTCAAGTTTTGTTACCTCCATCCATTTTCATCCAGCAAATGTGTTATTGTCAATTTGTAGGTGAAAGATTTTATCCTCAATAGATGTAGGTGAAGCAAGGGGGTAACAATACCCCTTGGAGGCAACTGTGTGATAACTAAATTCTCGGCCTAAATATATAGATTATGTTATGGTAAAGATCAGAAACACACATAGGCATGGCTAGGTTTATTACAGTGATGAAAAGGGTACGCTCAATACTGTAGTCCACAAAACATGTAGCTGTGCTTTCTTTATTTGAGTCCCCCGTCCGAGGAGTCCGTTTTCTCATCGCTTCAGGATGCCTGAGTCCTCCGTTTTCTCTCAATCTTAGAGTGCACCCGAGACTTCGTCATTCCTTAGTAATGACACAGAATTTGAAATTGCAACTGGGGTTGCATTTGTTGAGGCAACTTAGATATGTCTGATTACAGCAAATGTGTTATTGTCAATTTGTAGGTGAAAGATTTTATCCTCAATAGATGTAGGTGAAGCAAATGAGTAAAAACACCTGGAGGCAACTGCGTGATAACGAAATTCTCGGCTTGAAAAATGCGCTATAACAGCAGGTATGCAGATTTTGATGGAGGCGTGACAACGAAAATCGCAATAACCAAGGAATGACTGTAATATAAGTTACATGTTTATTTACATACTCAGACTTGAATTATATGTGGAGAAAAAATAATTTGTGTTAAAATTTATCCCTTATTTTGTATAAAAGACCAAATTATAGTAATATACATAAGTTCTGCACTGTTTACTGTTTGTGTAGCGTAACCTACCATTCCCTTGTATCACCTACTATTCCCCTACGTCACCTACCATTCCCCTACGTCACCTACCATTCGCTTGCATCACCTACAAATCCCCTGTGTTGCCTACTACAATACTTCCTTCTTCGCCTGCAGTATTAGTAAGTGTAACCTTTTAAGAATTAGTAATTACATGTATAGGTATATTGGCCGTTATTTTTTTATTCTCGCAATATTTTTTTTGAGGGGGGGGAGGGGGGGAGATAAGTCGGAATTTGGGATAAATGGCAAGGCCAGAACCCCATACATGGCGAGTTATCAAAGTTTTACTATTCATAGTAGAGAGGTTCATAAAGGAGAATGGTCGCTGAAAGAGAGTGGTTGTGGGTATATTATCCTTCTCCTTTTGCTTTTATTGAAGGTATTAATGATGCCAGTCTCATAATATTGCACATGATAGTTTATTGTAATATGGAAATGACGATTCTAGGGACAGTTCATGCCATTCACCATAACCTTTAACTTATCCAAGATATGACATAGTCATACAGCAACTGCTCAGTCATTCCACCAACTACAACCAGGGTTCCTGCTATCGAGGAAAGGTTCGAAGAACGACACTGGGTTGGAAGACTACAGTTCCCTGAGCAGTATGTGGGGAGGACTTTGACTAGTGGGCAAGAGTTATTTTCTCGGATAAAACAACTTTCAACTCTACCACCTACTGTACAGCCGTCTTCACTGGTGGAGACCTGATAACACCCGTTATAACAGGCAACATGTTTATCAAGAAGCCATGTGACCATAAACATGTAGGGCTGGATCAACTTCAACAGTGTGGGTGAGTTGGCAGAGATAAATAATAGATTCACCACTGAGCAATATCTAGAATTTTTTTTAAGAGGTAATCTCGCTGCCAACAGTCCGACCATACACCCTGCCCTACCCTGAGCACATCATTTTCATGCAGTTAAAGTTTTGTTATATTTCCTATACATATACATATAATGTTATGAAGCATTTTTATAATACAATTAATAGCTAAAAAATATTTATAATAATATAAACTGTATGACACTTGATTTTATCTCCTGTTTCAATTTATCTCAGGACCGATACCCTATCCACACCGTCAGCAGAGTTGCGCAGTGGTTCACCGAACACAGAGACCACATCCAGCTGCTGGACTAACTGAGTAAAGCCTGTGATCTGAACCCCATTGAGACTGTATGAGCTAATATGGTTAATATGTGGAAGCTACAGCAGGAGTGGACCAGGCAGCAACTCCTGCAGCCTTCCTTTGCACTGGACTAGATATAACAATGTACTTGAACCAATTTTATCAATTGGAATGTAGAGCAGCATTTAAACTATGTGAGTGTGAGTCTGTCAGTCATGGGGGAGTTTCCACATTGTGTATTCTGTTCTCTTTCAAATTTTTTTAGAACCCTGTAATATGTAAGGTTAATATCTCAAATGTGGCACTTGATTATACTAAAAGGTTGGCAATAAAACATTACACTAATGATAAGTAGGAATGCGAGGCAAAATTGACTTGAGCACTTCCCTCCTGCCACCCTGCTGTCTGGAACTATCACCAACCCTCTCAAATTGAAATTAAGTATCTCTTTGTGCATCATTTTTTTATACCTGTCCTCCTGACACTCACGTAAGAAATCTCATATCATCGATGCATGGTGTAGTTCAAAGACGATGTGCATCGAGGTGTCTAGCAGACGGTGCTTTGCGGCGTGTGTGCGTGGGGAAGCATTTCGTCTGTGCTTGCGAATACATTGGTTCTCATCATTCAATTTAGGTTGAAATAATTATATTAATGGTATTCACTGGTTTGTTCCTGACAGTGCTGGCAACATGGCAATCTAGGCATGAAATGCGCACTTTAAACCAAAGAGCAGGCATGGGCAACCCGCGGCCCGAACCATGTTTTTGTGCAGCCCACAGAGTGATTTAAAAATTTAATTTAGTGTGGCCCGTGGTTCAGATAGATGCAACCAGTTTATGGCTAGTAAAGTAATATTAATTAAAAGAATATTCTTCATACACAATTCATTACTGTTTCATCACCTGAGAGTAAGTAACTACGAAAACGTGACAGTGAAACAAGTAGAGTCAACAAAATAAACATTTTAACTTGTGTGAGTTTGACATGGTCTGTTTGATGGATTAACTGCTATGTGGCAGTGGGTCACTTGGGAATTAACTAAGGCTGGTAAGTGGATGAATGGAACAAGTTACCAAACATCATCATTAACTCGAATACGCTGGATAGCTTCAAACATAGGTTGGATGGATATATGAGCAATAGGGGTTGGGTGTGAATGGGACTGCCCAGTATGGGCCAATAGGCCCGCTGCAGTTTCCTCCATTCTTATGTTCTTATGTAAGTTCCAAGTGGGGTAACGGGTGGTGGTCACACGGGTCAAAGGTAAAGGTCTCTTCCTGGTTGACAGACTGTCTCTCTCCATAGTACCTCATCTTTCATGCCTGGCTGTCTGTTCGATCTATTTATTATTGTGTGTGTGTCTCCATCGTTGCCACATAACCAGGTTAGGCAAAACTGCCTGACAGAGGACTTTTGTCCGGGACTATACACACATGCATGCACACAAACTAATATTTCAAAATAAAGACATACACCTTCAGAAAGCACACATAGGAATTCAGAAAGATTAGTTAAGTTGCAAATCAGCTTAGAAAGTTAGAAATACAATAATCAATGTCACCAACTGCCAGTGAAAATTTTATGCCCAAGTGTGCTTGTGGGTACAGGCATATTGACACAATGAATCTGTTACAACTCCAGAGCAAAATTACGGTTTACAATAAACTAATAAAGTTAATAGGAGCTGTACCCTACTCACCATTAATTTTTGCACAGTCATGATATTGTAACGCAAAGGATTCTTGTTCTTGTTCCAGGTGCCTCAGCTCATCTGCTGTTTCACGAGTACGTCGGAGTAAGATATCTAATTCACTAACTATTTCAGCACACGGCTCAATGGTCATACTGGCTGGTTGTACTACAGCTCCCAACATCTGGTATGTAAGAACATTACACAAAATCAGAAGGCAGATACTGCAGCACACATGCGATCACTTTCATTTTTTTCACTGGGTAATTAATCAATAAGAGACTTAACCTTGGTTGATTTTCAAATTGTGCAATTTTAAAACTGAATAACATAATCATTTGTTAAATATATAGGAACAAATGAAATAGGGTGACAATATACTGTACTTTAATGAGAATAAATTACGTCTTTCAAATACAGTACTGTACTGCATTGTGAAAAAAAATTGTAAGAACATAAAATGGTGTAGTCTATGCATTCCACATTGATATAAAACAGAATTAAGAAAACAAAAATCTGTAAGGGCCAATTTTGAAACTATGACACAGGAGAAATGTTTCCTGAGGGTTCCTGATGACAAGGAGCTTAAAAAAAATCCTCTACAGTATATAATGAAAAATTAGTCGTAAGTACTCGCCAAATGTGATGTGATACCAGTTATTGTAATCCCCCCCCCCCCCGCAACACTTCATGCAAATTACCCGAAAACACTTACATTTTCGTGTTGCTGAACAAGATGCAGTTCTGTTTTGAGGCACTCACGTATAATACCCACTAAAGCAAGAGGATTATTGTTCAGGTACCGAGTCTGTAAGAAAACAAAAGGATATTAGCTATTAGGTTTACCATTACTGTACATGAAATGATGAAGAAACAATAAAAAATCTAGTAGAGATCTCACTCCAGGAAAGCCTCGAATAACAACTGTTCTACTAACTACAATTCGTATTTAAAACCCTGGTTAATTTAGGACCTGATTAAATTTACATCGCTGGAATATATGAACATATATATATATTGATAAAATCACACGGGGAAAAGGGAAACAACGAAGCACCTTAGCTTTCATCTTTATTCAAGACATCTTCAGAGGCAACTGGATTACATGGACAGAGAGAGGCTTAAATATACAGGGCGACCTTATTAAACATGAGGTCAGGTCATAATGATGTCATCCACTAATCCCCACACCAACACACACGTAGAGGAGCTTAAGAGAAAGGGGGTGACGTGACTAGTCAGGTCAAGTCAAAAATAAGGGACCCACTAAATAACTATCCTACATCTAGCTCCAAGGTTTTCAAAGCATTTTTAATCTTGGGCCACTGACAAATAAATTTATGTAACATAATATCAATTTTGAACTGACCATCACTAAGGTTTATTGATTTTAATTCCATTTTCAAACTAGCTTCAACCAGAAGTCTTTCTGTGACACAAGATGATTTTAATATTTCTAAGCTTTTTTTCCCAAGCAATGGGATGATTATTATTCCTAACATGAACGAACAGGGCACTGCTTTCAGATGCTGTTCTGATATTGTACTTATGTTGTTTGATTCTGAGCTACATGGAATACAATAAACACTTTCATTTACATTCAAACTTGGGCTATTTTTGATTAACATATTGGTAATGGTCGAGTCATACTTGAAAACAACATTAATATTTAGTATTTTAAGGGACCGAACTAACGGGACAAATTCATTGCGATAGGGCAGAGTCAAAATATTCTTAGGTGTAGGAAATTGCCTGGTTTGAGTAGAACGAAAGGATTTTTTTAGCCCTTTTAAAACAATGATCAACAAACACAGAAGGGTACCCAAGTTCTTGTGCAATGGAACGAATGTGTTTCAATTCTTCATCAATAAACTCAGCGTCACAAATAAGCAAACATCTCAAAAACATAGCAGAAAAAACTGACATTTTGGTAGACTCCAGGTGATTCGATAAAAAATGTATGAAACTGTCTACCTGTGTAGGCTTTCTGTACACCTTAAATTTGTAGTTATGGCCATTTCTAATGATAAGCATATCAAGGAATGGAAGGGATCCATTTATTTCGCTTTCAATTTTGAATGTGATACTTGGGACAATATCATTAACCTTGTCTAAAAACTCCAATGGGTCACTGATTCTAGGCCAAAGACAAAGAACATCATCTACATATCTATACCATGGAGGAATAAAGACCCCTATATTGGGTAGTAATCTAGCCTCAAAAAACTCCATATAAATACAGGCTAGAGGAGCAGAAAGACAATTACCCATGCCAAATATTTGCTTGTAAAACTGCCCATTTGCTCTTAACACATTGTCAGTTACGCATAACTCTATCAATTTGAGAAAAGTATCATGTTCAATAGTTAAATCTAACAGTTGTAATTTATCTTTAAGAAATGAAAGTAGGTCTTTCACAGGTACTCTAGTGAAAAGTGAATTTACATCAAAACTTATTAATTCACATGGTTCATTGTGTATCTTGAGTTTATCAATTAAATCACTGCAACAGAGAAAACATGTGGTATAACGGGAGGAAATAGAAGCGACCAAAAAGAGCCTGGAAATAACTGGTAAAGAGGGAGGATATCAGGAGGAAAACAGAAGATAAGGCAGAGGGATGTGCTCAAGGTGGATGTAGATGGATTCAAGAAGCCGAATCCTAACCTTTGCGAATATGTTAAGAGGATTATTATCATCAATATTATAAGTTAATGTAAAAACTACTTTGTTGCATCCGAGTTTTTCTCCTGCAAGCACAACAATACATATTAAGTATAATATTTCAAGATTTTATATGCACACAGGTTACATATATCTAAAAGCAATACAATATTTCTAAATACAGTACCTGTAGTACAAATATGGGTGAATAGGGTAAAGAAAATATGAAATACATAAAACTATATTTTACAGAGATGTGGAAATGTAAGGAGTGTCAATGAGCTGACCAGGGTTAGGTTAGGTGGTACAGTACTGACATACAGATAGAATAGAAATTGAAAGTTTGATGAAAGAGTAAGGTAGTACATATTTCAGTGGTAGATGGCATGAGGGCAAAAAGGCAGCCATGAAGGAAAAGAAGGACTCAAAACCAAGAAGGCTGTATATTGCCTCCCACATAAACACAATACTGTATATAAAATTTGGTTTGGTTCTATCTCGTGAAGTCTGAGATGCAGAAAACGTAAATACTGCAATGCCATTGAGAATAATGGACAGACAAATGGTAGAAAACATCCTGTATGCCATTCAACCTTTTAGCAGATGATTAAACTTACAATGAGACCTGATGCACTCTCAGGCTTATAATGTAGCAAGGAATAAAAAAAATGCTAAATCCCTCAGTTATTAGTTTTACACAATTTAATTTTTACTTTTAAAATCTAGAAGTTCCGTGAACTTCTCTATAACAATCGCCTTGCTTCACTTTACGTTAAATCTACAACAAATATCTCTTAGTTCACTTAAATTCGAATACCTGTTTAAAGATGATACTTTTATAATTTAAGTCTTCATGTAACTTGATCTTTCCAACTACATATCAGTATATATATTCAAAATAGGCAGACTGAACTTAAGTAAGCACACCAGAAGAGACAACAGCAGGTACTGTACTGCATATCAACACCACAGGAAGCACTCTAGATAAAAGCCTGACCACGCTATTCTGGATCCTCTCCATAACTGGCTTCTACGTAGAAAACTTAATGGCTTTCTCTGCATGAAAATCTTATCTTCTACTATCAGTTGCTGTGTACTCTCAGATAAAAATCAAACCAAAAGTGTAAACTAATAAAATGATGAAACATGTCATAGATTCTTTTACATAATGGATGTGCAAGGAGTTTATCACTGAATCACGTCTTTATTACTCATCAATTACTGACTTTTTATCAAAATTTTCAACTGAATTCACTTTGTACTTGATATATCAACTTTATAATTTTTAATTTTCTGCCATATCAACTGCAACAAGTGCACTAAGACCCCAAAGTGAGAATAAAGGTTAGTGAAGAGCACAAAAACCTTGTCATATAAAAAAGATCATATTGTATGTAAATAATTATTACCTAAAACCTTAAGTTCTCTTAGTTAATTCAAAGTTGGTTTGTTAATGACAGTTAGATATAAAATTCCTATTCTAATCACTGTAAATCACCCCTTTGTGTGGAGAATTTAGTACAGTACACTACTTTTTATGGCAGGACCTATGAATGCAAATGTAATCTAAGAACAATACTACTGCACATTCTGCCAATTCCTCTTTCACAGAGTGATAGAGGAATAAGCAGTGATAACATTATGGTGTGATGCTAATCAACAACACACATGTATTATCTGAGTCATGCACTGTTTACAGAGATTTTTTCAAAACAGTATGTGACAAAAATATCGTTGTTCAGACACATCAAAAGTCAAAGCATATTATTAACAGTTTCAACCAATATAATCCAAAGAGGTAATTCATTACTCATGTCCCCTCAGTCTTTGACCTGATTTAGTTTGGAATTCTGATGTGACCATAATTTAAAAAATTTCTCTTGTGTTGGGCCAAAAATATAGATACAGTACAGCATCACAATAATTACCACAGTTGTCATTAACATCACCTTCATTGGTGTAACATCACTTCCAGTGACATTCTCCTCTTGTGTTGGGCCAATAAAGCAAGTGTCACAATTGCTGACAGACCTTCTTGCAAATATGCCAGAGACTTACATGCTTTGTACCATGGTAGATGTGAAGCAGAATCAAAGGAATCAGTCTAATTTTCATCAATTTTTTATTCTCTTTTAATATAACTGAAGTATTCAGTCATCAACCACTGTCTCTATCAGGTCATCACTGAGACTATACTGTACAGTACCATATTGTAAGATGTAAAGCAATCTTGTGTCAGCACGTAAGCATCTTCTAACATTATGAAGAAAAAACAAGGCTTTTTTTTGTAACTGGGGTTTTTGCCTGTAAATCAATGTCATTAACACTTTTGAAGTTTTCATGTGTAAATTGGTGTATGATTTAAATTATTGCTAGATTTTGTATTTACAATGCTAATGCAACAAACCCAATCATTTTATCTCCAACAGCAAGCTTGCTATGACTCAATATATAAAATTATATTTTGCGCTTGGAGGGAAAAAATAATCTGTACTTGGCCTGGGCACGCTCATCAGAATGCACAATTTACACCACTATTACCGAGTGAAATATTAATTTTTCAAAACTTTTCTTGATAACGTTTTTTTGCGAACCATGTTTGCTTTATACTAGAAAAAGGTTTATATTGCAATCATGTGAAATAACACAGGTATAAAGTGATGTATAAAAATTTTCATTAAGTGTAAACAAACATTTTGTGTTCTATTCGCACTTACGTATAGAAATATTTATTTTAGCGTGATTACTTATATAAAACTGTTTGTAGAAAATTTAATTCCAGTGCTAATGCAACAAACCCCATCATTTTATCTCAAATAGCAAGCTTGCTATGACTCATTACGTACAATTATCCCTTGTGTGGTGCAGTCAAGTGCGGTGAGTTTAGTGACCAGCGTATCGCTGGAGAGCTCTTCCCTAAACCCAATAGTGTTAATAGAAAAAAAATTGTACAGTACAGTATCTTCAAAAATTTGTATATAGGTACTCCAATTCAAAACGGTATCAAATTGATCTGATTATCAAAAATGCATACAAAGGATACCTACAATACATTATGCACCGGAAGGTATTTAGGGGAATTTCTGAACAATGATAAATTACAGGTAGTTCTGCTATAACGCGATAATTGTGTTCTTGTAAAATATCGTGTTATAGAAAATCGTGTAATAGAAATAACAGGGCTTATGGAGAAAATAGGGTTAGGTGCAGATTACTCGAAATCGAAAAAATTTAGTAGTTAGCCTAACACAAAGGATAGCACGGTCTAAATAAATGTTACATTCATATCTAATAATGAAATCATACAGTAAATGTAACACTTTACTTGATGGGGGAGAAGGGTGATTTTGAGGTTGATAAAATCGAGCTTCTCTTCTAGTGTTATATCCTTTCTTTTACGATCATCACCAGGAATTTTATCACCGGAACGCTTCTTGTTGATATTCTTCTTTACTATATTCACAAAATTGGAGAAATAGTAAGCAAAAATCGCGTTATAGCAAACAAGCGTTCGCGTTATACAAATATCGTTCCTAATTCATAAATAAATTCGCGTTATCAAAACACGCGTTATAGCAGAAATCACTGTATGGCTTAAAGTTATCAAAAAAATAATAAAATAAAAATAATAATAATTAATAAATAAAGGAGAAAAAATTCACAACATGAGCTTGTTTGAACATATGTTACAGTTGTGTGAGATAGTAACAGTACTAAGTATGGAAAAATAAGATTGTCTGATGGATGAAAGAAGTCGTCATTTGGACAAGTCTGTTTCTATTTGAGATTTCTCCAAGTACTGTACAATAACGGGTAAGGGTGTATTTCAACCCTGGATTATCCCAAACCAATTTTTACACACATTTCAATGAGACACAATAGTGATCAAAACAAGTGTAAAACTGAAGATAACAAGATAGGAGAATAGTCTGAACAAGAAAACTATAAAAAAAAATGCAGTTTCTAGTTTTTACAGCAACATACCTTAAATGACGTTGCAGCTTCATCCAGGCGCATACGGACAAGAAAAAGGTCTTCATTGTTGCCATAACTGAGGGCTTTGTTTTCCATCTCCTGGATAAGCTGTGATACTAAAGTATGTGCATACTGGCTGTGAGATACATTTTCTGGATCTATTTCATTCCTGTTAAGAAATAAATATATGTGGTATTAGAGGGAATGCATAATCTAATTTATAATTATTACATCAAGCCTACTCATAATACCTTTTGGCAGGAAAAGAACAACTTAATTCACAAACACAGATTCAAAGATGAATTATCAACTTCCTTCATCACCTAAAACTGGACTTAATTTCAACCGAGTAAACTTAAATGAAGGACTCTTGAGAAACAACAGACTATCTCCCTTACCACTTTTCTCAAACCAAAAGGCAGATAAAACTGAAAAAAGAAAACGTGGAGAAAAGGAAGGATGCAAAGTGACACACTGACAACCCTGTCATAAAGCATCCCATCCCTAAACCTGAACCAGTCCATGTAGACTATGGTAGTACAGCACTTGGTGATGTAAATGGTTTCTTTCCGAAAAAAAAAAAATATATGAATAGGACTTTCTCGAACTTGTGTAATTACTTATACCTGTATAACTGGATTACATTATTCTTTCCTGAAATAATTTTTTCTTTAATAATGATAGATTATTCTATAAAATTTGAAACTAACAAAATACTTTACTGAAGAGTAAAGTAAATATATTTGAAAATATTTTAATGATTGTACAATACCTTTGCAGAGCACAGTACTTTCCAGTACTATTTTTGGCAACAGTTATTGTAAATGAATGAAAATAAATGTGAAAATTATCTAAAAACAATATACAGTAACGATATCTTGTTTTGAAAGCAACTCAAAATGTAAGTTTACGAGGCTACAAAAATTCGGAAATATTGGGGGGGGGGGGTTCAACCCAAAATTTTTTTTTATTTATTTATTTATTTTTTTTTATTTATTTTTTTTTTTTTTTTTTTTTTACATTTCTAACCTGCAGGACTGAGGGCAAGAATCACTCTTCCTTTTTCTGAAGAACTAACATAAGTTCTGCCCTTATAATGAACTTAGAAGACTCAAGTTTACTTTGATGATTTATTTATGTTTAGTGTTTTGACTCCATTATGTTCTTGAGGCACAGCTGGATTGTAAATGAGTTCAAATTCTCATTAGCTAACTACTCATTCATTTGGTGAGCCATGTTTAAGTTTTCAGTGATCAGATCATTGGCTCTGCCTCAGAACAATGACAACCTCCTTGACAAAACAAATGGACAAGGGGGTGTTCTGGAAGCTGCCTGATAAGTAACTTGATGAATGATTTACAGGCCATTAAAGTACTGTACACCTGTACAGTATATAACAGAGGCAAACTTGAGACAACTTTTACTGCTGATCTACAGTCTATTAATCACAACTAACTCTTAAAAACATTTCAATAACCCTCCCAGAAAATACAGTGACACTTCAAGATACCTTCAGACTAAGGGTTGCGACATAAATATTTGGTCATGACAGACTTATGCTAACCTCAAGAGTATGCTGGCTCATTCTCCAATTATATGAACAAAATTTATACTGTACAGGGGGTACCCAGGTTCTGAACGGGTCCCATTCAGAAGGACGTTCTTAACACGGAAATGTACTTGGAACACATGCTATGTGCATACCATACTTATACTGTAGAACAATGTTTAAAATCCCACTATACTGTATTACAGTTACTCCTCGACTTACGACCTACTCAACTTATGAACACCCGGACATACGACTGCCTCAGTCATACCAAAATTTTGTCAAATTACGTATTTTCGATTCCCGACGTTAGTGATTGCTGTGTACTGACAAAATTTTCATTTGTAAATCACTTTAAAATGGCTGGCAAGCTTAAAAGTGAGAGTTTTGTGGTGCTGAGAAGAAAAAGAGACACCCATTTTAGATTTTCTATGTATTATTTAAGCATTTTCGACTTATGAATAATTCGACTTACGACCTGGATTTGGGTCCCTAACCCCGTCGTAAGTCGAGGAGTGGCTACCCTAAGTCCTTACATATATCTAAAATCACTTAATTTAAGACAAAAGAAGAAATAGAATGACAAAATACAGTAAATTAAAGTAAAAAATAAGTCATCAGGTAAATAAGATACTGTAAATTTAGTTTAACCTCGTTCGTATCGGTGGGCTTTCATAAGTTGGACGTTAGTAAGTCGGAGACCCCCTATACTGTATAGTATTGTATCATTCTTATAAAATATATACTGTACAGTACTGTATACTGTATATGTACCTTAAGGCATTATAAATGAAGGCTAACTCACATACTGCAAAGGTACAGTACTTTATTGTACTGTACTGTACTACATATGATAAAGAGCACGACTCTTGCAATGTACAGTATAATCATTTTAAATAACAATAGTTAAATGTACTTACCACTGGGGCATTTTATCTTCTATCCACCCAGCCAGATAATGTCGCACCTCAATTGGAAACTGTTCACCGTAAACATTTTGAACTTGACGGAGGGCATCTGGGGGCAACTGCTGTGCTCTGTTCCACAAAGACATTGTCACCTGCAACAAAATAATAGATGATAATAGTTTTTGCATAAATTACCAAGTACAGTACTGCACAGTAAAGCAGGGCCCATGAGCGGAGAATGGTAATACTACAGGCACTGTAGTACCAAAACACCAGGGCCCGTGCCCAAAGGGGTAGCCAGGGATTCGTGCAGCTTAGTGCATCCTGCATTCTATAGACTATACAAAAAATTACATATTATTTTAAGACAATATATAAACATTATGTATTAAAATATATAACAAGCACTCATATGGAAAAGGATATCTCATATCTGTGGAAACTTAAAGGGGGCAAGGAAATTTGCAATAGTATTTTCTCAAGTCATTCACAGTGTCAGCAACTGAGCTACGTACTGTACAGTACGAGTCTTCAAGACGTGCATGCATCATGAACTCGCAGCTACTAGCACGCCCAGTGGGGTGCCGCAGTTTCTGCTAGGATGAGCAACTTAGGTTTATCTTACGCTCTTCCAAAACAAGGAAATAAAGTACATTATTTTATTACATTTTGGAAGAATATTCATTCAGTAATGATACACAAATGTATTGTCTGTGTAAGAAAATATTCAATGCAAGTCAGTACTGACTGTTGAGACAATGCTGTAGCCTTGTATAGTGGAAAAGCAGCTTCCTATATCAGTTACACAGGAGACACTGTTTGCAACGTGGTGTTTTGGTGTTTACATCATTGTAAAGTGAAATTAACACACTTTAATTTTCTTTTTACATATTGATAAACTTAGTTTTTTGTTGGATATAATACCTACACTGTATAATTATATAAAATATAGTTACAGTACTATATCCTGCTTAAGGAAGTTAATTAATGTGGAAAAAAATTAATTGGTGTTAATTGTCCAGTTACAGTGACTGAGCTGAGCCACTGAGGCCCATAGCATAATAAAAAGAACGGCTGGCTTTGCTGCAACTGGCGTTAAAGTTTTGTTGCTGATTGTTTGTTTATTTTATGACATTTAATCATTCTCTAAGTTTGTGTGATGTAGATATTGCTGCTTGTTGCAAAGAGGCAGTAATTTTTGGGAGGGATGATGCAGACTATTTACACACTTTGTTGTAGCAAGCCCAAATAGTGGGAGATGCTCAGAAATCACAAAGGTGCATCTCTTTACAGGTTATCAGGGACACAATGGACAGATAGAGTAGCCAGTGTCCAGCCCTTTGCTCATCATTTACCGGGCATTGTTTCTGCTCTCAAAGAAATATCAACACTAAAGAGCTGGACAGTGAAGGCTAAAATGGATGTGACAGGTGCTATACATTATGTGTTGTCTTGCGAGTGTTTTGATGGCAGGTTTCTGGTTTAAAATGTTCAACTCAAAATATCAGGTGTTACAGGCTCAAAGTTCTACCCTAGATATTGAAGTTAGGAATTTAAAGGATCTCCAGGGTGATTTACAGATTTTCAGAGATAAATGACCCTCACTTTATGAAGAAGCAAAGGTTGTATTCACTTCAATGGGCATTAACCCATTCCTCCCAGAAATTCGTAAAAGGAAAAAAGCCGTTTTTTTCTAGAAACCAGTTTTTTGTGATAAAGTCCAGAATGCGACGTCTCGCTTTATACTTAGGTATGTAAATGCTTAGCATTAACTTGCCAGGCCAATATACAGGCAATTAAAACATCTAATAATCATTTAAATACAAGGGAGGATTTTCAAGCTCAACCTATCAGGATAAAGTGGCTAATGGATGAGACAAGGGTTCCTCATATATTGTGCCCAGTTAAGAATCTTCAAGAATGGTTAACCAAATTCCCTAATCGAGGCCCCTATGTATTCTCATTACAGGGTGGTAAGAAATTGTCTCCTAGTCAAATGACCAAAGGTGGGCACATGCAACTTTTTTTTTTGGGTTGCAACCGTAACTCTGCTGAAATAGTTGCACCGCAACCACTTTAAAAAAATTTGCCACAAGCACAACGCGCAACTTTAAAAATAAATAAAAGAGTAAATACTAAAATAAACAAATTTGCCTATTTACAAGTAAAACAAAATATAACTGATACAAAAAAGTTAATATTTTCAATATTTTTTGACAAAATTACAAAAAATGCCTCTGCCACTGGCCTCAGTCTCAGTGGACTGGCTATCAACAGTCTCAGTCACTTCAACTTCCGTGTCCATGTCCTGGTCAGCAGCGGCAGGATCACTGCTGCCGGCCACAGACTCCTTCTCCTTCCTCCTCTTCACAAAACGATCCATAATACTACTAATAACAAGAAACTGACGCCTTAACTGCAGTGCTATTGACTGCCTGACTGGTTATGATATGAATCATTCCTCCCTCCCCTTCCCTCGCTGTAGTTACCAGAGTTCATCTTTCACATTAACTCTAGTTTCTAGAGTTTATGTGAAATATGAAATCTGGCAACTACAGCGAGGGAAGGGTTGAGGGTCTCATCTGGCTTACAGTTCAGAAATATGCTGCCCGACCTGTATCATGTACAGCTCCTCCCCGACTTACGACAGGGTTAGGGACCCAAATCCAGGTCGTAAGTTGAAAATGCTTAAATAATACATAGAAAATGTAAAATGAAATATGAAATCTGGCAACTACAGCGAGGGAAGGGTTGAGGGTCTCATCTGGCTTACAGTTCAGAAATATGCTGCCCGACCTGTATCATGTACAGCTCCTCCCCGACTTACGACAGGGTTAGGGACCCAAATCCAGGTCGTAAGTTGAAAATGCTTAAATAATACATAGAAAATGTAAAATGGGTGTCGCTTTTTCTTCTCAGCACCACAAAACTCTCACTTTTAAGCTTGCCAGCCATTTTAAAGTGAATTACAAATGAAAATTTTGTCTGTACTGACATTAGGACTCGAAAATACGTAATTTTACAAAATTTTTGTACGACTGAGGCAGGTCAAAAGTGCGGGTGGTCGTATGTCGGGGAGGAGTTGTAATTTCACATAAGAAAAAAGAATACTGTAATTAATGTAATTTAGCTCTTTTTCAGTTTTCATATCTATGTATTGTGTGAATGAGAGATTTCCGGGTAACGAGACGACTTTCTCAAAGCCGTAAAAAAAAATCCCTCATCCCCGGAATTTTCCGGGTAACGGAAAATTTTTTCTCGTTATTTCCAGAAAATGCTCCTGGATTTCACTTCTCAAACCTGTAAAAAGAATCCACCATCCCCGGAATTTTTTGGGTATCGGGAAAATTTTCTCATAATTTTCCGGAAAATGAGCCCTTTGGAAAATTTCAACTCCGGCTATGGGAGAGTTCCGGGTTTGAGGGATTCCGGCTAACGGAGATATTATAATTGTGGGTGGAATTGTCCATATTTATAAGAACCCATTCATAATTATAATAAACCGGTATTTCTTTTGTGTGCAAAGAATATTATGAAATTTAAAAGTTTTAGAAAGTACAGTGGGGTATGCTATAACGAACGGATCCTACTACGAATATTCCTATAACGAACGGTTTTACCTATAAAATTGAGAATGCTATAACGAACGCAACTCCTACAACGAACGCGGATGAATACCGGACTATTTCGCCTGGCGCATGAATATTATTGTACCGCGACCCACAACAAGAGAGTCAGGCGCCATCTTTGTCTCATTGTGTAGCCAGTGCACCACTGTTATTGTTGAAATTTCGTCTTTTGATGTGGAAATTCGCGTTATTTGTATAACTATTTTGTTATACAAGTATACAATTGTAACAATGAGTCGTCCAAAGCGAGTGAGAAAGCTAATAACCCTTGAAACTAAGAAAGAAATTATAAAGAAACGTGAGAATGGAAGAAGCATTGCGAAACTTAGTGATGAATATGGGATGGCTAAATCGACTATATGTACGATTTTGAAGAATAAAGAGGAGTTAAAAACTGTGCAAGTGGCTAAAGGAATCTTTAGACTTAGCAAAGGTGTAAAATATGTTGGAAAGATGCGTGGATAGGAAAGAGGGTGGGCCATTCCTAATTTGTGAGAAGGCTAAACAATTGTTTGAGGACCTTAAAGCCAAGACTCCCAGTGGAAGTGATAGTGATGTGCCAGTGTTTAGGGGTACCTGCATGCTGAATAACACTAAGGTAAGATAAAGTACCGTATTTTTTACATTTTCCACAGAATTTTTTCAGTGTTAAGCGGTTGTATTTGGGGGCCTGGAACGGATTAATCCTATAACGAACGAATGCTATAACGAACGAGATTCTGGAACCAATTACGTTCATTATAGCATACCCCACTGTAGATTTATTTGTTACTACAGTACAAGTTTGCATTTTTTTAATCGATTGCTGATGCTTACCCAGAGGACTTGGACATTAATTTCTCTAGTGAGCTTCAGCAGTTTCACTCATATGTGCACCATAAGTTCAGTGCAACTGAAACTGTAAAAACCGGATTAAGTCACGCTGAACTTTATAAAATAATTTTAGAAGACAAACTTGAATGTGCTTTTCCAAATGTAGAAATTGCATTTCGTATATTTTTAACATTTATGCTCACAAATTGCACAGCTGAGCATTCGTTTTCTCAGCTGAAGCATATTAAAAATCCATACAGAACAATTATGCGACAAGAGAGGTTGGATGCCTTGTCTCTGCTAAGCATAGAAGCAGATTTGTTACGGCAGATTAGTTTTGAGGACTTATTCAAAGACTTTGCAATTAAAAAAAGTAGAAGAAAAATGTTTAAAGTATAAGTAAACTTATAAGTATTATAAGGCGATTTTAATCCATGTACATGCAATATGTTAAAATTTTGTAAGTATTTGAATAAATAAAACCCCCTTACTGTATATTTAAAACAATTGTAGGATCTGGTTTGTGGGAGGGCCTGGAAGAAACCTGAATTTTTTATCTCATATTTCAACATCAGTATTCATTGAGTCTTAATCATGGTCTTAATATCTTGTCAGTTAAGCAATGGGAGGGCTGAGGGGGCACCATTGTTGGGCTGTGTTTAGGGCATCAATTGGCCTTAATCCAGCCCTACTCACATGTGCTGGCGTGTGTTTTGTGAGATTTCACAAT